TGAGTTTGACAATATAATACGTTATCCAAAATTATAAATGATCTTATTTTCAGATGCATTTTTTGCCATCTCTGTTATTTTCTTTAAAAAATATCAGACTTGCTTCCAATTTGTGCCTTTTGCAGTTTTCTTGGCAAGAGATTTAGCTTGCCATTGCTTTCGTCATAGGTCTGAGAAAGTCTTTTTCTTTCTTTCTTTTTTCTTTTTCTTTCTTTCTTTCTCCTTTCTTTCCCCCTGATTTGTTTTCCTCTCTTTTCCCTCTCTCTCATTCTCTCCCTCCAGCTCTCTTTCATTTATTTCTCCCTCTCCCCCTTCTCCCTCTAATTTGTTTCCATTTTCCCTCTCTCCCATTCTCTCCTTCCAGCTCTCTTTCATTTCTCTCTCTCTCTTTCTCCCCTTTTTTCTTTCATCTCTTTCTTGCACGTGCAAGCAAAATACCCTCCTGGGCCAGGATCACAGCAGCAGGGACAGCGACTCCTTCCACTGCCACCACTGAGAAGTGAGTAGCTGGCTGCGCTACGCAGGAGAGCCACGCTGCAGAGGAGACTCATCGCCAGACTCAGGTCAGCGTCAGCCGCTGTCCCCTTTGTGTTGGCTCAGGAAAGAGTCGGAGCAGCCGTCTCTGGATGCAGAGAGGGAAGAGTTCCAGAGCCCTGCACAAGGAGAGCCATGTGCAGCACAGGAGAACTGGAGCTCTTCCCTCCCTGCACCCAACCAGCTGCTGCTGCTGCTCCCCATTCCCCTCCTTCCTGGGCCAACATAAAGGGGACCGCGGCTCACACTGACCTGAGTCTGGCGCTGACGAGTCTCCTGCACAGCATGGTTCCCCTGTGCTGCATACCCAGTTACTCACCTCATTGTGCAGTGACTCCCTGCTGATTGGGTCAGCAGGGAGCCACAGGAGAGGGGCCAAAGAGGGGCCCTCATGAGCTGCGGTTTGCTGACCACTGTAGCATGGGTAGGGAATCCCAGACTATGCGCATCCCACATTCCTTTATTTTATTTTATTTTCCCTGCCTTGTTTTATGCCTCAATGGTACCTCTTAGCTTCTGTAGCTCTGCTCATCAACATTCATCACTCAGAGCAACCTGCTTTCCCAGAGTCCTCTGTGCTGCGCATGTCTCTCTTTTCCCCCTCCTTGCCGCCATTCCGGCTCCTACTTTCCCCACCCCCCCCCACTCTCACATATATACACACACACATGCACACTCTGATCTTGGGTGCTCGGCCACCTTCAGCGAGAAGAGCAGCAGAAGCCCCTACTTACTGGCGCAAGGTTTTGTTCTTTCCTCCTCCGGCCACATGCGTGGTGATCCCACCTCACAGACTTCCAACCAGTAACCCCCTCCTCCCCCTCCCACGTCCCCAGTCTGGTCTCCCTTCCCTTCTTCTCTGTTCGGTTTCCAGTTAACAGTCTCCCCCTCAGATCCTGGTGGAACTAAGCAGAGCCGGCTCGGGGGGGGGGGAAGTGATACAGCTCAACCCCAGTGAAGGCGTGCGCCCTGTAGGAGCTCCCAGGCAGGAACAGTCGCTGAAAAAGCGCCCGCATGGGAGGCTGGTCAGACTGGCCTGCTGGGAAGCCCATCAGTCTTCTGGCACTTCTCCTTCCGCCGCGTGGGGAACCTGAGCTGCTCCTTCCCTTCGGGCCGACTTCTTGCCAGCCTCGCCACGGGAGGCTCCTCGGCAACCCCTGTGAAAAAGTCATTCAACCCCCAAAGGTGTTGTGACCCACAGGTTGAGAACTGCTGTTCTAAACAGAATGCACAGTTGGCACTGATTCGAAACCTGCAGCTGAGTATGGCTTCCAAAAGTCCCTATTCATAATATTGTTGTATGGACACAAATTGTACACTTACCTTTGCAAAGGCATCATGTTTCTGTCAGGGAATGAACAAAAACAAAAGAAAATTATAAAACTGAAAAAAGAAACCAGCATAGCTCTTTCTTTTGAATCTGTCTGGATAAGCATGTTCCACCAATATACTCCATGCAAAGTTTGGTTTTTCTCACCCCATTTTAAGGGAGATATGCAGATTTTATGGCTTGTGAGAATTCCTGAATTATCAAACAAAACAGATGGAGTAGGGCTATTTTAGCAATAATGACTGGTATTCTGCTTAACTTTGTTTTTCCTGCTTGATCCTACTTGCGATCAAACCTCAGGCTTCAGATTTTTCATTTTGCCGTTGACATGGAAATCCTAATGCTTTCAAAACTGGATTTTAGAAGCAGACATAATTTTGTGAAAGAAGTCCAAGATTTGATCCTGGACTTTTAGTCTGTGGCAGACTTTGCAGGGCAATACTCAAGGGCTCAAAATACCTGTACAGCGGTGTGCAGAGCATGGGAACAAACAGAGAGAAATTAAAATCCTAGTACAAAGCAGGAGGCAAATATGACATTGCTAGTATTACTTGTTCTTGGTGGGATGGGACTTAGGAATGGAAGGTTATGATTTGTTCAAACAAAGCAGATCCAACAAAAGGGAAGATAGAAGTCACATTATTCATAAAGAATTACTATATCTATATGGAAATTTATGACACCAAGGTAAAAATCCTTCTGAAAGCATCTAAGTTAATACTAAGGAGAAAAGAAACAATGATACTGGAACAGGCCAACCCATCAGGCAGAAGGGATAAAATGCCAAACAAATAGCTAAGATGCCCAGGAAACACACTTCAGTACTACGATAATTGGGAATGTTATGGGTATAATATACCATACTTAAATTGTAAGTAAGGCACTTACTTAATGTTGACCACAAATTCCTACTTGATAAAATGAACAATGTCACAAGGATGGTCCCACTACCAGATGGTTTTGCAATTGGTTGAACAATTCTCTTCAATTCCTAGTCCTTAATGGGTCTATTTCTATACAAGGGAGGGAGGAATGAGGGAAATAATTCAGTGTTCTGTCTTAGGCCAAGTACTCTTCAACATTTGGAGTACTGTCCAGTTTTGGTCAACATAATGCAAGAAAGAGGCTGAGGATGTGGAAAGAGTACAGAGAACAGCAAGAAAGGTGGTGAGAGGTTAAATTTATGAAGAATTTAGAAGAACTGTGTATGATTAGCCTAAATAAGGGAAGGCTAAGGAAAGGCATAACAACAGTGTTTCAATAGTTGAAGGGCTCTCACAGAGAAAAGTTGGTAGATTTGTCCTTTGCAACATCCCAAGGACCAAAGGATGTAAACTTTACAAAGAGAGAGCCAAACTTGAAATAAAGAGGAATTTCCTGCCAGTGAGAACTATTGAGGAGCGGAGTAGCCTGACTTTTAGAACTGCAGATGAACCATCTGCAGTTGGTATTATCAAACTAAGGTCGGGCAGCTAATTTTCTGGGATGGTTTGAGGATTCTTGCCCTGGGTAGAAGGTTGGCCTAGAAGACCTCCAGAGTTCCTTCCAATCTTATGTGTTTATGTTTAAATCCTATCAGGTGCTTTTGCTTGATTTGTATTGTTCCCATGATAGACATAATTGGTTGTACCAAATTAAGCATATTCATACATGGTGTTAAGTATAAATTGATTATATTATTTATATTATTTTAACTTTGTACAGGTTTATAGTAATATCTAGTATTATTCCATGACATTTATTTAAATATTAAAAAATGAAATTTTTAGATCTGTGTGAGGCAGGGGTGGGTTCCAGCAGAGACTACTGCCTGTTCGCTCAGGGACGCGGTGTGTGAGCTCATGCTTGATGCATGCTTGCGCACATGCATAGTACAACCTGGGTCGCTGCCCGTTCCAGTGACCCAGGCTGCCAAGCTACTGCCGGTTTGGCCGAACCAGTCCAAACCGGTAGAAACCCACCACTGGTGTGAGGCTAACTATCCCTCTGATAGCGCTCTCTCTCTCTCTCCCTCCCCCCTCTAGTGCGAGTGCTGTGAAGAACCTTTCCCTAATTATATGCTTTTATCTTATATTAGAAGGGGGCATCACATCCAGCTATAAAAGGATACAAAGGATAAAAAGATAAATACTAAGGAGTATATGATTGGCTTCTATTCCATAATTTTTAAACAATTGAATACTAGAGTCTGAGAAATGTGATTTCAGTGCAGAAAAGATGCTTTGAACTTTTTCCAATCTATTGATAAGTTCTGGTTCTGGTTCCAATTGAACTGCCCAACTTGGATCACCTTCAATAGGAAGTGAGGTCTCTCTTCATGAAATGTATTTGCAGTAAAATTAATCCACAATATTAGAAATATTCCTAACAGAAAAAGAGGAAAGCCCACATTTTACTCCATTTGGCAGAACCTGGCCACATGACTTAGTTCTCGTAAGAGAACAAAGCTGATGGCCTTAGAAGGCCTCTAAGGTACGACTTTGTAAAGATAGAAAGAACCCATTTTTTAAGCAAAATATTTCCTACAGTGCTTGAGGCAGTAAGTTTATGGGGAAGAAAAGAGAAATGGGAAGACATCAATACACATGGCAACAGTGTAAATCCATATATGATGCTTTCAAGACAGATTAAAAAATCCACTGGTATCTATTGGAATCTAAAGCAACCAAGTGTTCTCTCTCTATACCATTATATAGTGTACATATAAGATTGCTCGAAGTGATGCACAACAATCGGACAATAAATCTTTATTTTGGTCAAAAATCTGCACAATATTCCACCTATTGGTTGCAATTATTTGTAAACAGCCTAGAAACAACAGGCACTACTATTAGAATCACAGATCTGGAAAGAACCAGAATGAACATGTTGAAACCATGATAGCCAATGGCTTTCCTTCAACAATTATAAAGATATTTGAAATGCCATTTCTTCTACTTCTGAGAAGTAGGGAGAGCTACCTGCTCATTTTCCTCAAGGAGATTGTAGTCAGAGTTTGGAAAAACAAAAGGAATTTTGGGCAGAGTTTATGCACAAAATCTGGGGTGGCCACTTCATTTTGGGGGTGGGTGGGTATTATCTAAGAACAAAGTCAAGCATCATTTTGAATGCTGGAGCAGGACCTGGAATCCTTCATAGGAAATGCCTCCTTAGAGGTCTTTTCAGGTAGCAGGAATAGGAATAATGTCCTTTGGGATTATTCGTGTTCATTTCTTCTCTATAATATTTTGTTTCTAATGATGGCCTGAAATATTTTCATGCAAATTAAGCCAATTAGTGCTTGGTTTTTAGAAAACCACACAATGCAACTCCCACCTTATTAGACAGTCAAGCTACCCAATGATCCAGTAAAACAATGTTCTAACACAATTCTTAGGTATCAATTCTTACCATAACTTGGATGATTTTATCCATGGTCTCAGTATCTTCATCAACACTGCCTTTCTTTAGAGTGGCATAGTTGTTCCTAAAAAGTTCATGTGGAAGGCTGGCAATTTCCTGGAGACCTTGCTCATAGATTTTCTGGCTGGGGGCCACTGCAAAGAGCTTGATCTCTGCATCTCGTGCTCGATCAGCTTGCTGCTTCATCCCTCCACAGGGACTCCCTGTCACATGGCCATCAGTGATCACAATGGCATAATTTGTCCCCTGCGGATTGAGAGGCATCTGAGCTGTCATGTTGGAGAGAGCACAATCTGTGAAAGTGCCCCGACCAATGTAACGGATTTTTGCCAACCTATCATTGAATAGCACCTTGTCTTGGGTTATAGAACTAAAGATTACCACTATATCTGAAAAATGAAGTCCCCCAATTTGCCAATTTATGGATACTTGTTGTTGGTAGACCTCATTGGCCAGCTTATTAACGAATTGAGCAACAAACTTCTTGCTATGGTTCACTAAACTCTCAATAGGGTCAGTCTGAAGGGCAATGCTCTCAGATGTGTCAATGACGAAGTACACTGTGATAGGACACTCAGTTTTATCTGTAAAAAAAGAAAAAGAGAAAGAATGTGGTAAGAAGACTAGATAAATACCCATCTAGAGGCTCTTAGGGAATGAAACCCTTGGAGTTTGTGTAGTTTTTCATTCCCATGGTGCAGTAGCTGAGTTAAGGATCAGTTCCTGAATTGACTCTTATAGCTTCATAAAGACATGAGGTATCTCCTGCCCTTTTTCCCAAACCACTTTCCCCCAGAAGAGATTATCATTCTGATCTCCATTACAGGGTAGCATCAATATATAACATATAGAATATTGCATGAGCCTTATTTATTTCCATTTAGAACATGCATCCCTTAAACCAATGTGGCTAATCTAAATTTACAGACAGTGAGTACCATAAATGACAGCTTTGGTCAATATAGTTTCTCAGCCTAACGTAATCACATAAATAAACCTCGGGAATTAACAGAATTATCAGAAACATAGTCATCCTTAAGCAAATATTTACTGTATTTATTAAACCAAAATTCCTAGATGGGATGCCCCCCTTTTTAAGCAGGGATCCACAGTGTCTGAAGCATACTCAAACTGCATTAATATGACATGCAGCCACATCATGATGCAAATCCTGCCCTTTTGCCATTGTATCAAACATGCGATGCAAGTATAGAAGTCAATTATTTCATCATGGCCTCATAGTTGTCCAATCTCTTATTAAAAACTTCCAGTGTTGGAGTATCCACAACTTCTGAAGACAAGTTGTTCCACTGATTAATTGTTCTAACTGTCAAGAAATTTCTCCTTAGTTCTAAGTTGGTTGTCTCCTTGATTAGTTTCCACCCATTGATTCTTGTCCTGCCTTCAGGTGCTTTGGAGAATAGGTTGACCCCGTCTTCCTTATGGCAGCACCTCCAATATTGGAACAATGATATTTTTTTAGCAGTGCTTTTCTGCATTTTCCCCACCTTTTAAAACTGAGAGATAACACAAATGCATAAGTTCCAGCCGAAGTATGTGTATGTGTGTCTGTATGTGTGTGAGTCTGTACCATTTTCACTGGGGTTTTATGGCTGCTGCAGATGACAGTCACAGAATTCTAGAAAAAAATGTAGCTACTTTAAAGAATTAGAGATATATGAGTACACTGTATTATTGATAACACCACTTTGTCTTCAGACTCAAAGTACTGCAGAATCCTAGATATTCAAATATATGATTTTGGACATGGATTGTAATAATAGAACATCTTCACTATAAGATTTTTAATTATTTCTTATATTAAACTTACGTCTTTACATATTTTCAGAAGGAAAAACCACAAAGAAAGAACTAAAGTAAATTGAGAAAGTATGTTTTTTACCTGCACAGGAAATTCCTTCATCATTTTGAGCATTGAGGGGGACGACAGTTGTGCAGAGCAGAACAGCTAAAAAGGCTTGTGAGAACATCCCCACAATTCTCCCGTCTGCTTCACCTGCTGCTAGAATAGAGTCAGGACAAAAGTTAAAAAAAATTAATTGACTAAGACACAAAGTATTGGATGCTGAGAAAGTGCCCTTACACAGAGTGAAATTTTTAGTCCACCTAGTCCAGCAGAATTCATATGACAACAAAAGCTGGACAGACAAAAGCTGAACAGAGCTGGAAGGAACCTTGGGATCTTCTAGTTCAACCCCCTGCTCAAGCAGGAGAGACTCCTCAGTAACCTATAAGCTCAGCCACCAGCTCTTTAGATCCATGCCTTTCCCAGCTAGTTAAAGCAGTTCAGGGAGATGTTGTATGAGTGGGTTCTTGCAGTGATTAATTCTTCTTTGAAGAAGGGGGTTGTTCTTTACCTCTTGGAGAGGTCATTTCCCCCTCCTCAAGAAGCCATCACTGGATACCAGCACACTGGGCAATTTCATCCAGGATCTCACCTCTTTTCAGGGAAAGGTGGTAGGAAAAATGGTTGTGCATCGCTTTAGAGGGCCTTAGAGGAAGCAGATTATCTGGATCCTCTTCAGTCAGGATTCAGATCTGGCTATAAGATGGAAAACACATTGCTCATGCTTTTGGATGACTTTTGGCAGGGGTGGGATGGAGATAGTGTAATTTATCTTTGCCTTATTTGACTTCTCAAGCTTTTGACACCTTCAATCATGATGTCCTTCTGGAAGAGCTCAGAGGATTGAGGGTGGGTAGCAGAGTGTTGTGTTGCTTGTCCTTCTTCCTTTGGGGTCTGCTCTAGTCAGTGATGTTGGAGAAGAGAGGTCTGGCCCTCAGCCCCTACTATGTAAGGTGCCACAGAGTTCAATCCTTTCTTTTCTCTTTTTTAACATCTACATGAGGGTGGGTGGGTGAACTCATCTGTCATCTTGGGGTGAGGTATTATCAGTACACTGATGATACCCAATTATATATCTCCATCTCTGGTAAATTAAGCAATGATGATGTAGATATCTTATCCCTCTGTCTGGAAAATATGGGGAACAAAAGGCTTCAGATGAACTCTGGCAAGATTGAGTGCCCTTGAATTTTGGAGCCCACAGATTCCTTCTTTGATGCTAGATGGGATTGCACTGCTCCAGACAGAATCAATGCACAATCTGAGGGTCCTCTTAGACTCATAACTCCTGCTTGATGAGTAGGCGATAGCTATGACTAGGAGGTCTTTCACATAGCTTTGTTTTGCGTGGCAGTTTTACCCATTCTTGGATCTACAGCCCTGCTGACAGTCATTCATGTCCTAGTCACCTCCAAATTGGACTATTGTGATACACTCTACATGGGCTTACTCTGAAGAGAGTATCTAGAAGCTTCAACTGGTACAGAATGCAGTAGATCAGCAGAGGTTACATCTCTGTTCTGCCAACTGCATGGGCTGCCAGTTTACTTCTGAGTCCAATTCAAGTTACTGGTTTTGACTTTTAAAGTCTTTCATGGCATTGGATCAAGCTATCTGAGATACCGACTCAGCCTGCCCTACTAGATCTAGTAAAGAAGATATGCTGTTGGGATCAGTTAGAGATCTACATTTGGTGGGCCACAGGAGTCAAATTTTTTCTGCTGTGGCACCACCTTATGGAATCCCCTTCATTTTAAATCTCCTACCATAGAGATTTTTCTCTTTCCCCCATTCTAGATTGACCTTGTTCCATAAATTTAAATAAACTTTTAATGGGAAATCATAATTAAATGAGAAAAAAAACATTCATTGGATGACTATGGAAGAAGGGATGGAGATGCCTCATTATTAACCTAAAATTTAAATCAGGATATTTATTTCATCACTCTTGGGTATACCTTGGTTTTAGTGGAAGTTATCTGGTACAAATCCAGTATGAATGTGGCCTGATGGAAGGACTATTTTATTTATACTTATTTATTTAATGAACATTTACAGCCACACATTGCCGAGAGATTTCTGGATGGTGACAGAAATAAAAATATTAACCAAACTACACAAATCCATAAAAAAAGTGGGCCAAGGTTCTAAAAATCCCACCATATCTAATACAACTATATCCATGCCAGAATTCCATCAACACCCCTGGTGCCTAGGGGAAGACACAAGTTTTCACAACCTTCCAGAGGACTAGCATGATTGGGCTATCCATATCTTACTTAATCCTAAATTAAACTAAGTTTGCTTCTAGTCTATATCTAATAAAATAAATAAAATGAGGAAGCCCTCATTCAAAATATGCTTTGCATGAAACATTGGGGTGCAAACAAAATGGCTGAATACATAATGGTGAAATCTGTACCATGATGTCATCACACAAAGTCTGCAGACTTTGTGTGATGACATCATGGTACAGATTTCACCATTTTGGTGTCTCTGGTTTGTTACAGATGCTGAGAAAAAAACATATAATTACTACAGAGTAGCGTTAGTTCTCTCAACAGCAGTTGGGAGAAGGGACATTTTCTGTGATATAGCAGATATGGATAATTGAGCAAAGTATCCAAAGTCCTATATTAAGATGATGCTTTTGTACCTTTTCTGAGAGAGACCACAGCAGAAGTTTAAAGATCTTCATGTGTGGGACTCTGTAGATCTATAAAGGTATTTTTCATCCCAGCTGTCGTGTTTTCAGTGTACAAACAATAACAACGGCACTTAGACTTATACGTATATCACTTCAAAGCACTTTACCATACTTTCTAAACAGTTTACAGAGTCAGCATATTGCCCCCAACAATCCGGGTCATACTACCTACACAAAACATGTAAAAGGTTAAATCATGGCAACTGGACCAATATTTATTAAACGGAGATGTCTTGTTACTCATCCAAGTAACATCTTCAGTCAAAATGACCATTTTTGGTTAGGCATAGAGTCAGAGAGTCGTTGGAATGAACTAACTCTTGCAGGGGGCTCTCCCCAAAATGCAATGCAATATGTAAATGTAGACTAAATCATTCAGGCCAAAAGCACGTAAAAGGTTAAATCGTGGCAACTGAACCAAAGTTTATTAAATGTATATGTTCTGTTACTCATCCAAGTAACTTCTTTAGTCAAAATGACCTTTTACATGCTTTTGGTCTGGATGATTGAGTCTACATTTACCTACCTCCACAAAAGTTCTACATGGCAGTGAGAGAATCTGACCTGATTCACTGACATTGTAATATACTCATTGGCATTGGCATGTGTACCATCTCAGCATGCAGGGCTTATTTTCATGCGTAGTATTAAACAAAGTCCCCCCTCCCCAGAGAGCAATGCCCTTTGTATGTTAATGGAGGAATGGCATTGGTTTGGAAGAGCATCCCATCATGCAAGCAATCTCCCTACTCACACTGAAACACAACCAGGGATTTCCCCAACTCCCCTGTGGCCCCAGCCTCATCAAAAATCAGCCCAATGACTTGCCCCAGACCATCAATGAACTCTGGAGATGAGCAGAACCTTCCAACGGCAGAACCCCTGCATCACTGCCCAGGCCACATCCTGTTCAAGAACAACCTCATAAGGTTGTTTTAAAAGAGGAGTAGATACCCAGGATAGAGGAGGTGGAACCACGTATTTTCCAGGAGGCTTAAAAATGCAGTTTTCATCAGTTATTAGGCGTTTCACAGGTTGATTTTGTGTGGGTTTTTTTTGCTTCCACACAGTCAGTTACGTTAAAGAAAAAATAACTTTAGAATCTATATCTGGATTTCTAAAAGCACTGAATGTTCCTGAAGTATTTTATGTAACAAAAATAATGAGGTCATAAATGAGTGTTTACTAAGGTGACCAGATTTTCAGATTGGTAAAGAGGGACACCTTTGACCGGGGGGAGGGGGGCTTGATTAAAAATTTTATATGGAGCAACAAAAATTCTCATACAAAGGAAAAATAGTATTGTAATATTTTTTTTTATTTCAACATAACTACAATTTACAAATATAAATTGTAACTGTTGCCAAACATCAAAATTTTGACCACGTGACCATGAGGATGCTGCAACATAAGTGAATCTGGTTTCCCCATTTGACTTTGTCAAAAGGTCACAAAAGGCGATTACATCACCCCAGGACACTG